ATACTCCTGAATGCTAGTACAAAAAATGCTCAAAATCAGCAGGTTTTTTTTCTGCCAAGAGCACTGATTTTTTAAGCCACTGTGCATGGAGCCCAAGGGACATACAGGATTCAGATATTATAAGACAATTGGGTTATATTGCTGCCTACAGGATTAATTCCAAGATTAACTACTATTTTGTGTCCCTTAGTGGACTTCAAGAAAAAGATTTAATAGAAATTATAAAAAAAAATTTTTTTTATTATTCATCACGGGACAGTGATAATAGTCATTCTTGGAAATACCTCCTTATTGAACTTCCAGAAATAAATTTTACATTAAAGTGTTACTAAACCCAGGACCCTGCATTCATTATGTCTGGTCTCACACAGTACACAGAATATGGAAATGCAACTATTTTAGTAAATATAAACTGCTAAATACCTTTTCTCATCAGCAGTTGGAGTAGTCTTGTGGCCTCTATCAGTGTCCAGCAGAGTACTGGTTACAGCTTGTAGGAGGAGTTTTAATTCTCCTGTAGAAGGATGCAGGACCTCTGACCTCTGTGTGGAGAGTGCCAATTGGTCCTGTGCTGATCACATGCACTCTCCCAGGAAAAAAAAACTCTCTAGCAATATACACCAAACTGAGCATGTGCAGCTTGTCCCTAGCCTCTGTTCTATCAGGAGATATTTGGGAGACACTGGAAGAAGGGGAGGATCAGAGAAGAGAGGGTCAAACATCCTTTCTACACTGTGCAGAGGATTAACCCCTTAGGTTCCACAGTGAGTTTAACAAATATGCTTTACTGCATATACAGACTGATTTTACTGCTGTGGGTTTAGTAACACTTTAAGTACAGAATTCTTTTATCATTACATTTTGTTACAGCTTCGGAGTGGCCCATATCATTTTGATAAAAGTTACTCTTCCTGAAACTTCTTCATGTAATATTTTATACTAGATACACGGACAAATGCCACAATCTAGTATTTTAAATGGTTGCGGGATTAGGGATTTCTATTCACACCTTAGTAGGATTCCTACTCTTGCCCTTAAAACAGTGGTTTTCATCCTATTAGATAAATGTGGTTTCACCTGCAGCCCCAGACATCACACATAACATTCAGTATACAGTCATGGCCGAAATTGTTGGCACCCTTGATATTTTTCCTGAAAATCAAGTATTTCACACAAAAAAGGTATTGCATTAACACATGTTTTGCTATACACATGTTTATTCCCTTTGTATGTATTGGAACAAATATAAAACAGAGGCAGAAAAGCAAATATGACATAATGTCACACAAAACCCCAAAAATGGGCTGGACAAAAGTATTGGCACCCTTAACTTAATATTTGGTTGCACACCCTTTGGAAAACATAACTGAAATCAGTCGCTTCCTATAACCATCAATAAGCTTCTGACACCTCTCACCCGGAATTTTGGACCACTCTTCCTTTGCAAAACAGCTCCAGGTCTCTCTTATTGGAAGGACACCTTTTCCCAACAGCAATTTTAAGATCTCTCCACAGGTGTTCAATGGGATTTAGATCTGGGCTCATTGCTGGCCACTTCAGAACTCTCCAGCGCTTCTTTGCCATCCATTTCTGAGTGCTTTTTGACGTATGTTTGGGGTCATTGTCCTGCTGGAAGACCCAGGATCTTGGACGCAAACCCAGCTTTCTGACACTGGGCCCTACAGTGCGACCCAAAATCCTTTGGTAATCCTCAGATTTCATGATGCCTTGCACACAGTCAAGGCACCCAGTGCCAGAGGCAGCAAAACAACCCCAAAACATCATTGAACCTCCACCATATTTTACCGTAGGTACTGTGTTTTGTTCTTTGTAGGCCTCATTCCGTTTTCGGTAAACAGTAGAATGATGTGCTTTACCGAAAAGCTCTATCTTGGTCTCATCTGTCCACAAGACGTTTTCCCAGAAGGCTTTTGGCTTACTCAAGTACATTTTGGCAAACTGTAGTCTTGCTTTTTTATGTCTCTGTGTCAGCAGTGGGGTCCTCCTGGGTCTCCTGCCATAGCGTTTCATTTTCATTTAAATGTCGACGGATAGTTCGCGCTGACACTGATGCTCCCTGAGCCTGCAGGACAGCTTGAATGTCTTTGGAACATGTTTGGGGCTGCTTATCCACCATCCGGACTATTCTGCGTTGCAATCTTTCATCAATTTTCCTCATCCGTCCACGACCAGGGAGATTAGCTACAGTGCCATGGGTTGCAAACTTCTTGATAATGTTGCGCACTGTGGACAAAGGCAAATCTAGTTCTCTGGAGATGGACTTGTAACCTTGAGATTGTTGATATTTTGCCACAATTTTGGTTCTCAGGTCCTCAGACAGTTCTCGTCTCCTCTTTCTGTTGTCCATGCTTAGTGTGGCACAGACAGACACACAATGCAAAGGTTAAGTGAACGTCTCTCCTTTTTATCTGCTTTCAGGTGTGATTTCTATATTGCCCACACCTGTTACTTGCCCCAGGTGAGTTTACAGGAGCATCACATGCTTGTAACATTCTTATTTATCCGCAGTTGTGAAAGGGTGCCAATACTTTTGTCCAGCCCATTTTTGGAGGTTTGTGTGACATTATGTCGAATTTGCTTTCTTTCCTCCCTTTTTTTGTTTTGTCCCAATACACACAAAGGGAATAAACATGTGTATAGCAAAACATGTGTTAATGCAATACGTTTCGTGAGAAATACATGATTTCCTGGAGAAATATCAAGGGTGCCAACAATTTCGGCCATGACTGTATGTAATGTTACAGTAAACTGTCACAGAATGCTTCCATGCTACATGTGTGATTGGATACTGGAGACAGACTGTAGGAGAGAGTAAGGCCTTGTTCATATTTACTCAAAATACTGACACTGAACAAAGAACACACCTATAGTGGTAATACACACTGTTCATTGCGCTTGATGTGCGCTTAATGCACATTAGAAATGCTCCCCAAAACGCCCTATCGATGCGCATTACAAAACTTACTCCAGGCACCTATTTTTTTTTTTGGCTGTTGTGAACAAGGTCTAATGTGCCACAAGTGCATCACAAACACACTACAAATGCATGCCGGCGCATATGTGGTGCATTACCATAGACTCCCCATGTAGCTTCAGTTTTTGTTTTTTAGCGCAGCAACATGGCGAAACTGCTTGATGTTTTGATGATGTGAATAGCACTGTGTGCTGTCCATATTATCAATTGCAGACTGATTTGCTAGGAGTTTGAAGAGTGTTAAAAATGCACCTCAAACTCCTGCATTTACTGCCAGTGTGAATAGGACCTAAGGGCTAGGGACTTGTTTTACAAGACTGCCTTTACAGCTCCTTCACAAGTCAATGCTTCCACTGTACTAATGATTGTTAGTGCCCTGCGCCACGCAATAAGAATAGTCAACGCACTCATGGTCCATGGACACTCTTCAGCTCCCCAATGCACAACCCATATGGAGGTACAGGCAGAGAGCTGGAGGAAGAGTCTGCAGGAGCCTGGCATTGCACCTCTGATTCACAGATGTTTGGAGCAATATTTTGCAGGCTATTTTTTTTTAAAGGTGATCTTTAAAAGCAGAGTTCCACTCACCCTTTCAAAAAATAAATGTCAGCAGCTACAAAAACAGTAGCTGCTGACTTTTAAAAAAACAGCTACTTACCTGTCCCTTGGTCCTGTGGTGTGTCCTTCGCAGTCCGTTTCAGGAAGCCGGCAGCTTCAGTATGGGCACACGCCTGTGATAGCTTGCGGCTACACAGCCGGGTACCCACTGCACATGCGCGAGTAGCACTGCACTTCATGAATGGTCCTGTATTCTTCTGGGACCTGTCACGTGTCCTAAAAGAATACAGGGAGGGAGGGAGGGCGGACACCTTCCGCTTTCAATCGCCTAGGCAATCGGACCAGAAGTGGGAATGGGTACCTGTCAAATTCGGGTACCCGCTCCCCCACCCCCGCCCCCCAAATGTGCCAATCCTTAAAGGGGAGCAGTCCTTAAAGTGGAACTTCCCCTTTTGGGTGGAGCTCCACTTTAACCTATACCAAGCCTCACGCATAAATTGCCTTACAGAGCCTTAATAATTTTAGACAGCCTTCAACTAGTTACATGTTCAAGCCCCACACTACCTTCTTAAAGTTAAAGTTTAATCTGCTTATACAATGCCTTGAAAAAGTATTCATACCCCTTGAAATTTTCCACATTCTGTCATGTTACAACCAAAAACCTAAATGTATGTTATTGGGATTTTATGTGATAGACCAACAGAAAGTGGCACATAATTGTGAAGTGGAAGGAAAATGCTAAATGATTTTCAACATTTTTCACAAATAAATATCTGAAAAGTGTGGCATGCATTTGTATTTAGCCCCCCTGAGTCAATACTTTGTAGAACCACCTTTCTCTGCAATTACAGCTGCAAGTCCTTTTGGGAATGTCTCTACCAGCTTTGTACATTTAGAGAGTGACATTTTTGCCAAGCTGGTAGAGACATCCCCAAAAGGACTTGCAGGTGTAATTGCAGAGAAAGGTGGTTCTACAAAGTATAGACTCAGGGGGGCTGAATACAAATGCACGTTACACTTTTCACATATTTATTTGTGAAAAATGTTGAATACCATTTATCATTTTCCTTCCATTTCACAATTATGTGCCACTTTGTGTTGGTCTATTACATAAAATCCCAATAAAATACAATGACGTTTTTTGCTGTAACATGACAAACTGTGGAAAATTTCTAGGGGTATGAATACTTTTTCAAGGCACTGTACTTTGATTTCCTTGGTTCCTCCCTCACATGCTCATCAGCATGCTAATAAAGCTTTTTAAAAAAAACAATTTTATATTACCGTATTTTTCGCCGTATAAGACGCATTTTTTCTTCCCCAAAACTGGGGGGGGAAATGTCAGTGCGTCTTATGGAGCGAATATGGAGCGGCCAGTCCGGTATTTCCACCGCGGCCGTGTCAGAATACCGGGGCCGGGCCGATCAGCTCTGCAGCGGGACCTTACCTGTTCCTCTATCCAACGGCGTGCGGTCTTCCCGGCTTCTGTAGTGTGGGCACTGGGCATGACAGCCGGGTGCCAAGTGCGCATGCGCAAGAAGCGGTGCTTTTTGTGAATGGTAAGGCGGTACCTGGGACACATGACAGATCCCAGAAGCCGCCGGACCAATCACAAAGCGCAAGTGCTTCTCGCTCATGCGCACTGGGCACCCGGCTGTCATGTCGAGCACCATTACAGAAGCCGGGAAGACAGCGCGCGGCTGGATCGAGGAACAGGTAAGATCAAACAAAAAACTCTGCGGAAGTAAGAGCGGGTACCTGTCAAATTCAGGTACCCGCTCCCCACCTCCCCAAAGGTAAGCAGTCATCTGTACTGTCCGCAGTCTCTGGTCATCCCTGGGCTGTCTGCAGTCTCTGGTCATCCCTGGGCTGTCCGCAGTCTCTGGTCATCCCTGTGCTCTCTGGTCATCCCTGTGCTCTCTGGTCATCCCTGTGCTCTCTGGTCATCCCTGTGCTGTCCGCAGTCTCTGGTCATCCCTGTGCTGTCCGCAGTCTCTGGTCATCCCTGTGCTGTCCGCAGTCTCTGGTCATCCCTGTGCTGTCCGCAGTCTCTGGTCATCCCTGTGCTGTCCGCAGTCTCTGGTCATCCCTGTGCTGTCCGCAGTCTCTGGTCATCCCTGTGCTGTCCGCAGTCTCTGGTCATCCCTGTGCTGTCCGCAGTCTCTGGTCATCCCTGTGCTGTCCGCAGTCTCTGGTCATCCCTGTGCTGTCCGCAGTCTCTGGTCATCTCCTGCACTGTGTCTGCAGTCCATTAGTTCAGAATTTTTTTTTTCCTGTTTTCTGCCTCTAAAACCTAGGTGCATCTTATGGTCAGGTGCGTCTTATACGGCGAAAAATACGGTACATTATTTTAGACTGAGTTATGTCATCACTGGGCTTCTGTGCTTCTCTATACAATGCAGGCAGATCATGGCTGGTGGGGGAGGATGGCAGGATGCTATACAAGTCACATTTACTGTTAAGTTACCCACAGTGCTCACCAGTCTTGTGAATAATTCTCTGAATGATCAACTTTTCATCCAAAAGATCTTTCCACAAACATTAATGATTTTCTTAAGAACAATGAGAGAATGCCTATCAAAATACAATAATTTGAAAATGTGCAAATATTATTGGTCCAGCAAAAAACAGGCAGTTTATTCCTGCACTGAAATGTTCATCAATATGACCACAGCAGAGCAGCCCACCAGAAATGAAATAAACATTTACAACCCATTTACTGCTTGAAGCTGCCACTAACATACAGTACATTTAATGAGAAATCACCATCTCTACTCAAAAGTAATATTTTAGTTTTGTACAGTCGCTGCTAAGATGAAACACATGCTGGAATTTTAATTTGGGGACTCCAGTGATGGCATTTTCCTACTGGGAATACTGGTGTTCTCTGATGCATCCTCAACGATGCGGAATAAAAATGAAATGCTGTGGGCAGCAATACTTTCCATGTGACCTCATTCAAAGTGGTCCTGTGACTGAAATGGAGGCAACCTTTAAGACAAGCTGCCATTCTAGGCCTCATTTACTCAGGTGCTATGGCCCATACAGTGCAAATTGTCCATTTGTTTATGCGCTTGGAGCTGCCAGGAGCTGCATGCAGGAAGCCTATGTAACTCTATGGGCATGTAGCATCTGTACAGGCACAGCCACTGGTCCTATTTTGACAGCTGAGTAGGGATGGCTGGGGAGGCCAAGACGCAAGGTGCATTCACACTGTACAGGCCACAGTGTCTGTGTGAAAGGCCATAAGACAGCCTTTCCTCCAGACCGTCACAAGTAAAGCCACCATGAAAAAGTTTGTAAAAAGACATAACAAAAAAAGATATATTTACTCTTCCTTGACACTTCAGGCTTTTCTTCTTATCTCAAGCTCCCCTTGCTTCCTTGAATTTCCTCCTGCCCCCTTGCCCATGTGACACTAGAAATCATTTAGTAAAAGAAAAGAATGTCTTTGGCATAAATCTTGCAAGATTTTGCAGCATATACATAAGATTTTCCAGCAAGGCACTGTGTGAGGTAGCCTTCCCAGGATGCATCTGTGAGACCCTGGCTACATCACCAGTGCCTCTAGAAAGCAGGAAGTGCAATTTACACAACAGCTGAATGACTTTTTTAAAACAAAAATAAAGTGGTCCTAAAGGCTGAAGGTTTTTTTTTTTTTCATCTTAATGCATTCTCTGCATTACAGTAAAAAATATTCTGAGCGCAGCTTCCCCTCCCAGCCCCCCTTATACTTACCTGAGCCCAATTTCAATTCAGCAATGTGCATGAGAAAAGCGACTCTCTCTGCGCTCTCTCTCCTCATAGGCTCAGAGACGACAGCGGTAGCCATTGATTCCTGCTGCTGTCAATCACAGCCAGTAAGGAGGGAGTAGAGGGCAGGCCGAGCCATGCTCTGTGTCTATGGACACACATAGCCAGCTTGGGAGTGAGCCCACATGAGTGCCCCAATACTAAGTGCCTTGCTATGGTGGGCAGAGGGGAGGAGCACCAGTGGAGGACCCCAGAAGAGGAGGATTGGTGCTGCCCTGTGCAAAACCATTGCACAGAGCAGGTAAGTATAACAATGTTCTTTATTTAAAAAAAAACACATTGGTTTACAATCACTTAAAGATAATTTCATATCAGCAGGTAGAGTGGTGTGCAACACTTTCTTTTCTGGTGGTGGTGGGCGGAGGGGGGGGGGGGGGGGTGTCCACTTTAGGATTCACCATGTTTCTTGGTTTACACTCTTAAATTGTCAGATCCAACCACTGGCGGGTTGCATGGTCCAAAGAAAAGGTAAATTATCCAGGATGCAGTGGGAGATTGGAACAAAGGCAGAATGCAGAGCAGTATAAACCCTAAGTGGTACCAAGTACTGATGCAAAGTACAGAATCGCTTTCCATCAGGCAATTTATGCATAGAAAGTGTAATATTTCAACAATCAATTTATACTGTAAGAACTAAGCTTCTACAGACATCAACAAGAAAACGATAGCATACTTTGCTTTACAGGATTATCTGGATACCATTTCAGTATAATTACTGCTCAGTACATAAGTGTCTATGTATTTTATCCCCAAAAAATATTACTCTGAATGAATAAAACATCAATCTATTCCATTTAGTAATTAGTTACTGTCAGGACCAGTTTCTCCTAATGAGAAAGTTATTTGATTAATACATGTATACACTTTATTTTCCAGGTATGCTTGCAGTTTGATTATAATATAAGCTCATTATGGGCAACATTAATGGCATCTAAATACTTGTAGTAATGCTAGGTTATCTTGTTTGGTATTAGATGTTTGCATAGAAATCCTTCTGTTTAGTTTGTTATTGGCACAGTACATTCAGTGATTTAGGTTGTTCTCCGGGAATTAGTTACACGAAGTGCTATTCCTGCCACAGACCTCACTGCACAGGTAGACACCTTGTGGCACACTCCAGCATTCATAATGTAGTTGGAGGCCAAGCGGTGTAGTCTTTCTCCTCCAAATGTGTTGAAGTGCCCTGGCAGCACTCTATCCACCAAACCCCTGTCCACCAAACCCTTGAGACGCTCACAGGACCCAACATATTCAGAGATATTACTGTAAGGCAACCAGTCGATCATGGATCCATCATACACTACATCTCCACTGAAAAGGATCTTCCGATCTCTGTCATGTAAGCAGATACTTCCTCGTGAGTGTCCCGGCATATGCATCACCGTCAACTGCCTGTCACCAAGGCTAATGATGTCACCTGACAAAGACAGAAATTGCCACATTGATTAGTATAATTCACAAATGAAAACTGGGAACAAATAAACTAAATTTCCAAAAATTTACTTTTTTCTCTATTTTTGTGTGCCACGGAGTAGGTCATCATCTATCATATTAAAAGCTGCTTATTTGTTGCTTAGTTCTGCAGTATTACTAAGAAGCTTCAGCAAATAGGAGAGAGAGAAGAAGAGAACACAGTAGCTATTAAAAAGGTTATTAAAATGTTACTTTGTTTGAGCAGTCAGAGTTTGCTTGAAACAAAACCTTTCGAATTAGGAAAAAAAAAAAATGTATAAGTCGCACTGAAGTGTTAGCTCCTCTTGCCGTATTTATTAGTTATCAACAAAACGACTGCATACAACAATGTCTCCACCTAGGAAGCAAGTTTTCTTGACGTGTTTCACTGCTACTGGCCCTATTCAAAAGGATAGCGTATAGGACAAGAGCGGACTGACAACTCATGGGGCCACTGGGGAATAGGGAATCATGGGGCCCGTGTCCTCACCCACACTCAAAAAAGACTATGTACCAGGGGAATCTCATGGGGTCCCCTACTGACCCTGGGCCCTCGGGCAGTGCCCGAATGCCTAAATGGTCAGTCCGCCCCTGGTATTGGGATATCCTTATGAGCAAGCCAGGAGCAGTGAAACGCATCAAGGAAGGTTGGTTCCCAGGTGTAGACATTGTTGTATGAAGTAATTCTGTTCACAACTAATAAATATGGCAAGAGAAGCTACGAGTGGAGTGTGGCTGATACATTTTTTCCTAATTCTGATGGGGAGTGGAGACAGCCTATACTGGTCAGCACCCAGACTGACCATGTACAGAAGAAGCAAATTTTGAGCAGAGCAGTTGGTTTGCATGTAAGACCTTCCATCGAACTTGGCAAAGAAGCAGAATTGCGAGAGAACAACTGGATAGATCTAGAGAAAAGCTCATTCCAGTTATTGAGCAGGCATTTCCGGGCTGTAACAATTTTTTTTTTATTTTAATGGGAGCAGCAACAAGGACCAGTGAATTTTGACTTTAACCAGCCTTGCTTCCACCACATACACATAGGGCTTAAAGTGGAACTTCACCCTCCGATCCTTTACAGCCAAAGAAGCTGCCATCTTACCCTCTGTTTGAGAGTTGCCATGGTGCTGCACATGTAATCACTTATGACACCAGCTATTTGATTGTTTGACAGTTCTGTTGAAAGCACAAGCAACTGTGACAGTTTTCACGGTCGGAATGTAACTGCTTTGGGAAATGGTTAAACCAATGTGTTTAGTGCTGCTTTGATACAACATACAAATGTACTCACATAGCGATAACTGATACTGTCTCCCTTTTGTATTTTCATTTTGCTGTTGTCCTGCAAACC